TGTCACTGAGACGTCTATCTTTGGCCACCCCGTATATCCTATTCTGTGAGACTCTAAACTAAAGGTGCTAACGAGAGTAAAAAAGTGTAAAAAAAACAGGAAAAAAAAGCCGCTTAAATTTGGTAAGAAAGGTTTCCTTTTTGTCAATCATGCCTATTAAGCCGAAATTTGAGGGTTTAAATATTGTAGGTAATTTATGGCTATAGTTCCTTTATATGTCTCCGGTTGACAAGTTTATATTTCCTTTCCCAAGGGTCAATTTGTTCCGCCCCGCTTCGAAGTAGGTATAATATTCAATGTAGCTCCCAGTGACTTGGGCCGCTCTATTCGATCTTTTCCCCTTTGTTCAATTTTAAATTAAATTTCGTCTTAATTCTAAGTAAGTAAGTAAGTAAGTAAGTAAGCAAGCAAGCACTTATCTTAACTTTACGCCCTTTTTGTTCTGTTGATTGGAGGTTCCTGCCCTGTCTTCTCACGATTTAATTAGTCCCGCGCGTTATGCATCTTGAGATTAAACTTAATACTTTAAAAATTCGTAAAATCTCAACCACTGAACCGATTTCGATCGAATAAGCACTAAACAATTACAAATTTTTGTGCACTCCCGGCCCCACAGGACAAACATTTTTAAACCTATATACATACAGTCACAAAAGACCCTAAAATCAGCCGGAGCTGGCACAAAACACGTCCGTTCGCCATGAAAGACGAACTTCTTCTCCTCAAGCTTAAAGTTGCCTTTATGAATTTAAAATTCAAGTTGTATCCTCCCTGTTACGTTACATATTAACCGAACCGTTCTAATTGTTTGGTCCGCTCACAATCTCTCTATTCAAAAAAACCCAAACGTCTTCCACCTACCGTACCACGGGGTAAATCTCGTTTTGATATCGTCTTCACCAAATTGGTAAGCACTTAAATCGTACAAAGAAAACAAGACGAAATTCCTTTTACTTACGGGGTGTATATTGACACAATTTTAAAATATTATCGTACAAGTTCACTAAACTAAAGCCCCCTCTTTCGTACTACCTTACAATTGCTTACGTTATACTAATACACAAAGATGCCAAAAAAAACAAATTAACCTAACTAACTAACTCCTTCGTTTTTTTTAACGGGCTAATTGTGGCCACTTTCTAAATGCAATTTATTGCCGATAATGTTTACGTAAATACACGCTACAAGAAGTATCTGGTTGGACCCAACATCCTTTTTCCACCGGATACTTCCGTGTAGCAACTAGGTAAAGACTATCGCTTAAAAGCTATACAAATACAATTAGAATTACTTACTACCTATTAATTATTAAAATATTACTTAAGAAAACGAACCCCTAACTGTTCGGGGTATGACTATTTACCGCACAAAACTGATAACGTTCACAGTACCTGTGTTTATGGTGATCTTCCTCTCCAATGGTTGTTGAAGGTGCCGTTGTTTCCGACACAAATCGGCAGGACTGCAGGCAGATAATCCCTTTCAACACATAGACACACGCGTCGATATCAATTGGTACGACATTCACAAGTTCAGGTACTAATGATTTAGTGATCGATCGTTAGCACCCTTTTTAACGATCCGACTTTACACGCGGAATTAACAATTAAAACGGCTCAACCGGCCACTCGACCCGACCAATTCTGTTTTCCCGTTTTCCGCTTTTTAGCGCATTTTTGCAAATTTATTTGTAAAAAGTAGCTTTTAATCTCACTTTGGCTGGCTGGCTGGCTGGCTGGCTGGCTGGCAGCAAATGTGGGCGCGTAGAAGAACTCTTGTAGAAAGGCAACGGGTGTACGTGTATCTACAGGGCCGTTAAATTTGTCAACCTTAGGGACATGGCTACATGATGTGGGGTTGGCGACATCTGGGCGTCATCCTCGAGCGTAGTATACTAACGTGAAGGTTTTTCACTTTTTTCCTATCTTCTACTACAGTTTTGGTCCGATTCTTTTCAAATTGGTGTCGTCGGAAAGATGTTGTAAACGCGCACAACTCCTGCGTGGCGGAATTTTGTTTTTTTGTCCTAGGGGCGAAAATAACGACCTTTTGCGAGGCGCGCGCGCGCGTCTTCGAGAAGTAGTCAACTTCGGGCGCCTTTTACCTTCCGTTGCGAACTCACGCGGTTTAACGTTTCGTAAATCTCGAATCGCTGTCTCTCTTTCTCGTGCCGCCAATAGAAGTGAATTGCGAGTGAACGGGACGTCGGAAGTGGGTACCGTCAAAGGGAATGTGGTAGCCCGCGACACGATCTTACTGATGGTGTAGTCAAATCTTCAACCGCGACGCCAAAGGGAATGTGGTAGCCCCCAACACGATCTTCCTGATAGTGGAGTCAAATCTTCAATCGCGAATTGCGGCTGAACGGGACGTCGGAAGTGGGTACCGTCAAAGAGAATGTGGTAGTCCCCGACACGATCAGCTGATGGTGGAGTCAAATCTTCAAACGCGAATTGCGGGTGAACGGGACGTCGGAAGGGGGTACCGTCAAAGGGAATGTGGTAGCCCCCGACACGATCTTCACTGATGGTGGAGTCAAATCATTAAAAGCGAATTGCGGGTGCACGCGGAAAGTGGGAAGCGGTTAGTGAATGTAGTAGCCTTTGACAAGATCTGTTATTGATGGTTGAGTCGAAAGTGGCTAATAGAATACTGATCTGCCACACAAAAATGCGCTGAAGTCCCTTCGATCTCAAACGAGGACTTTGATAATTTTTTAACATGAAAATGAACAATCGGGAATTAGTTTTTGAAAATTCGAAAAAAGGTCCACTGCAAATTCTTCTCCGGACAACGAAAATGGAGAGAATTCCAGGAAATTTGTTGTGTACATACTTGATGAGTTAAGGAACAAAATTGTAGAACATTTTTTAAAATAACTTTTCAACAAAAGTTACACTCATTTGAATGAAGATTGGGCCTTCGAGTTACAAATTGTCCCCCGCCTACTAGTGAGAGATCTAATTTCACACGTAGTTAATTGAAAATGTCGCAAATAAACAAATAACGATTTAAGTCGATATTGTTTTATTTTGATCTAGGACTTCTAAGACATATGTTATTGATGTAATTATAATAAGCTTTTTTGAAAAATGTTCTTGTATTAATGTACTCACATCATCGAAAAGAGAACAAAAATAAATGTCTATCAATTGAGCCCAACGAAAAGGTGCACAGCCATTTAAAAAAATGCAATTGTTTTTCTTTACTAATTTGTTTTCTGAAATAAAAACAACTGAATGCTGCTATATTATGGGAAATAAAATGTTACAACTTTTTCTGAGGCCCTCAAAAAAGATTGTCTCAGATCCACCCGGAAAAAATCTTCTTATAGAATGTGGCCTGTAGAATCCATAATTTCAAACAGTTCCAAGATTGGGCTACTAGTTCAAAAGTTACAGCCCTTTGAATTTTCTTTTGAAATTGGTTTCTAGTCTATAACTTTTGATTGAGAAGTCTGATCGAAAAAGTACGAATTGTTTTGGATTCTAGGCACCAAAATTAATAAGAAAAAGTGTTTTCCCGAGAAATTTTGGTGTAGTCGATTTTTGGTAAAAAAAAGGAAGGTTCAAATACTATGCGAAGTATTCGAATACTAAATACTTGTGAAAGTATTTTGAGTTACAAATACAAATACTGCTTCCATAAAAGTATTTAATTACAAAGTATTTGATTACTTTAAAGGATTTGAATACTAAAAAGTATTTACAAAATCGAATACTGCCCAGCTCTGATTCCACAGCACTCAGCAGGTTGTAACAACCAACTAATTCAGCGGCAAGGTTAATCTTATCAGTGAGTAGGTCTGTGTACAGAGAGCCATGGGGTATGTATTCAACCTTTAATTTTAAACACTCGTCTAAAAATGTGCTGTGGCTAGCACATCGACCACCCGCATACCTGCTCATGCGCGATTCTGCCCTTTTATGCAGAACTGAATGACTAGCAGATTAGTGCCATTATGACACCTCGGAGCAAAATGACCTAACACAAACACCCTATGTATAACTATGATTACCGCCCTGTATATTTAAGATGACAAACTATTACAGTAAAAAATTCAAATCTCCCACACAAACTCAAACTGACCGCTACAAAATGAACATCCGCAAATTCAAAAATTCAAATCTACCGCACAAATTCATTTTCAAATTTACCGCGTTGGCGCGTAACGACCTGTGACGTCACAAAAAAAAATGGAGGGGTGAGCTTACCTTTCCCTACTGTCTATCTTGTTCTGTCCTTTTCAAGGTATGACTTCTACTTCTGCAAGAATATACCTACCTAATCAACAGACTACAATGGTTTTACATGAATTCTACTATCCTACTTCCACTTCCACAAATAATGTTGGTTCCCTTTAACTGAAGAAGCACATCCTTTTTACATATCTGACCAATATTGTTTCTTTCCTCCTTCGTAGCTGTTTATGGATACCAAAACTTTTTACTTTTTTTTATGTCCATTCTGGAAACATTTTTTTTGACACTCTAAGATCAAAAACATTGTGGAGGATCAGCCTTGCTCCGATTTCGTGAAATGAAGCGTCCCTTCCTGTCTCTTAAGGGGTTTAGGAATCAGTTCAATATCTTTCTTTACCTTATTTTCTTGTATCCATCAATTGTACGTCTGATTTTGTAGGTGCAGGTCTCAATCCGTTTTTGACCGACCTTGAGATCCAGTACAAAATGGAAGCTTTGGATTTTTGGATATCAGAACATCCATTCCAAAAGAATTGAGGTTTATAACTTATGACCGATATAATCACCAAATGAAACATTGTGAAATATCGATTTTTCTTTTATTGGAATGTGTTTAAATTATAGAATGGAATGATGTACCTATTCTGTCGATATGATCTATATCATGTTTGCTTGATTCAAGTGTAGGATTAAATGAGTTGACATTTTCTACGAAAACTGGTATCGATAAAAACTGTTTAAGAAAAACAAGTAAACAGAGCATGAATACTTAAATAACTTCACAGCTTTTTATTAATTAATTAATTATCTTATCGAAATATAACTCTCCCCTCTCATCTAAATAAAATTGGATGGCACTTTACATTAGACACTTGTAACTGCAGTGCAATTGACGTGAAAGTTAGACAGTATGAAGGTCGCAGTACTTGTATGTGTGATTCTTACATTATTTCAGGTAAACGGTCGATTTTCTGGAAGTGTAGCTTTAATTTTTATAAACAGGTTTCGTGTAGGCGACTCAATTATGTAGCGGAAGATTTCATTTGCATGAAAAAGTTGGGGATTGAAGAAAGTTACCTTAACGACCGAGTTGGCGACAATTTCTTGCTAACAACTGGCGATGACCAGTTTAATGATTTCGTGGTGTGTTGGGTAAAGGAAATGGGACTGGTCGATGAAAATATGCAAATAATACCTTCCGAACTGAAATCCTACATATTAAAACATCAATTTAATCTCTTCAAGAAGAACGACTATCCCAACAAAGACGAAGTGGCAGAAAGGGTCTCCAAAAGTTGTCTAAACACACAGCCAGGAAAAAATGATGGGGACACAATGGTTAATATATTCAATTGCGTAATGACGCAAATGGGTGCTTTGTAAGTTAATTTGTAAATAAACAAAGTTACAGTGATTATTTTGCCTTACACCAGGAGATCATATCGAATAACCTTTTCACGTACAATTTCCACAGCTGTTTGCTCTCAAAACATAAGTTGCTTTGTATTACTGTGTAACCCGCGTATTTCCCAAGAAAGATTCGTTTCGCAAGTGATTATCAAGTCTGCTGTGACCCGTCCTAATCTTTCTTCATATAAAACATCACGTAAACAATTTTTGGCCAAGGTTATCCATTTGAGCTGTAGTGTTCATCATGGCCCAATTTCTAAAGTTTTTCTGCTTTCTTTACGCATTTTCACAGGTGGGTGATAATTAACACGATACAATGGCGCTTACCTACATTTCAGGTACTACCAATTGATATTGATGAATCCCACTACACGATAGAGGACTATATTTGTATGAACCGTACCGGAATCGAGAAGTCATACGTGGATAGTCACCTTAATGCAGACTTCGTACTCACCAGAGGAGATGAGAAACTAACCAAGTTCATGGCGTGCTGGGGTGAAGAAATGAAGCTCGTCGATGACGAATTGAAAATTTCTCACTCGGGGTGGGAAAGAGTAGCTATCCATAATATGTTTAAGTTCATCGGCAAACCTGATTATCCCAATAAGGAGGAGTTGGCAAAAAAATTCGTTAACGATTGCAAATATATCGAATCCGGAAGCGATCATGGAGATAGTACAATATTGATGCTTAATTGTATGCTGGTGCCATTCCTGAAGCTGATGAGGCAATAGACTGGGAATTGATCTGTTTAAAATCTAAGCAAAAGGAACTTTAGCGTAGGTTTTTACTTGTAGTATAATAGTAGAAGCTCCCTGGAATTATTAAGATTAAAGGTGTAATTGAGTAATGAGAGTAATTGGGTATAAGACAATCCAACTCAAGCACTTACACTCGCATTTTTAAGGTAAAAGTTTTTGGTCTCTTGATTTTGAACCCTCACTACGGACTAAGTTCGAGAGTAAGATGAACATTCCCTACACCAATATTACTAAAAAAATCACGTCGAATTTTAACGGAAGATGCATTTAAACCTAGACTGTGAGTATACGGAACGTAACAGGAAAGAGACTCATAGTGCTGTCTTAAGGTGGGGGTGGGGTGCTTACGCCGCTACAATTGTCAGTCCTTCCACCACGGCGGGACGCGGGTGTGCAGATGTGACAGAGTTTCATTTTACCATTTATTATTAGTCAAAATCAGGCAAAAACTTAAATCAACTACAAAAAAGCTAAAGTTTTCTTGTGTTTCTTCCCCTTTTCTCTAAAACCATCCTCTTTACCCCTCTTCCAGTAAGTACTTCACTCATGCTTTCCCTTTCTCTTTCCACCTCTTTGCATTCTCACAACACGTGCTTTATATCTTCCTCTGTGTCCCCAAATTCTATATTTTCATTTTCCTTCTGTTCTCCTAACTCATTTTCTCTATCCCATTGTTGTTCCCCTATCTAATATGTCGTTTAGTGTCTATCAATTTGTGGTGCCTTCCTTGTAATCCTGCTAGTTCATTCCGTTCCTTTCATCCCTCGGTTCCATACATCAGCACACCTCTCACCATTGCATGCAAAAGGTAATTTGTTATTCTGGATTCGTTTTTGAATCACTTCTTTCCTGTCCTGTTCTCACCACAGGGAAAACTAGGCAGTATTTAGGCACACCAAAAGCCCATTGTGCCTACCCGCTTTGTCTCGCAACTAGGTCCAGAGCCCGTCCCTTCGCCTGAAGACGAGGCTGCGAGGAGCCGTCTCCGTGGACATGTTGGAACGAGTGTAATGTTCTAAAGACCAGTAGGTGCCCCATTCCTTATTTATGCATCTACCAGCTTCTCCACCGTTTTTTGAAGAAACGATGATAGGGTGATGGGCCTGTAATCCTCCGCCATGTCATATTTGACACAGGTACACAACTCTTACCTGACTCCCTCTTTTGAGAATATACCTTAAAGTCAGGGAGCCTCTAAAAAAGGGCAACAAATGCAAAAGAGCCGGGAATATCCCATCCAGTCATGCACTCGTAAATAGGATGAACGTGTCGCAATTTCAGAGATCCCTCGGTAACCACTCGGGCAGCTGACTTCCAGTCGATGGGCCTTACACCGACCCGGGTAGCTCACTTGGTGGGTTCCACTTCGAAAAGTCTGCAGTTTACAGCTGTACTCGTATGACGCTATTATGTTGTCGCTTACTAATAGGGTCACCTCTTTCACTTGCCTTGGTTTCGGACAGAGCAAAGGTGGTCTATCCATGATGAATCTCGGTGATGCTCCCTGATTTAAAACATTCAAGTCAGTTGTTTACAACTACTCCAGAGGGTGGTTTCCCCTTGAGTTCGAGACGGTGCTGCCCCACACAGCATGGAGTGCGTTTGCATAACAATCAAACACAAAAGGGAGTCGACTATTTCGACAGTTCTCTATCAACACTTGCACCTCTCTGGTAATACCCCTTTTCCGAGGTCGTACGGGAGATAGGCTGAGCAGACCGCCAAGTGCCTGCTCCGTCCTCTTCCATCTCTCAGCTGAAGTCTGAGCAACGAGAACTCTTACACAGAAATCAGCCATTAGATAAGACTCGATTCGTCTATCTACATAAATGCAAATCCTAGGTGCCATTCTTGTAACAAAGATAATCCTCTACCTGATCCAGACCTCTTACTCCTCCCCTGTAAACCCAAGGTTCTTGTATGATGCTTTACGATAGGTTGGCGGCCTATTAACCAGGTTGCCCTTTACTGTGCTGCCAAATTGCTCTGTAAGAAGGTTACCTTGTTCTTTACTGATGTACTAGGTTCCTCCTCCCCTAGTGATACCGACGGTTCCGACGCAAGGGTCGGAGTCAAGAACCACCGCACGAGCCAACAGCCCGTTGACATTTTTCTCGGCCTCTGAGGGAACCGGTAGTAATCCCGACGCCCTTCGAAGTCGATAACGAAAGATTGAGCCCCCTCTGTCGCAATGGGACTTTGGTGGAACCCTATCCCCTTACCTGGCGCAGACGGAGCCCTCGCTTTTGTCACAAAGGTGACGTGCGAGACCCCCGCTGGAGTGCCCGATAGAATGGTCAAATACGAGGAGACTCCTCCCTACAGAAAAACGCCGTCCATATGCTCGTCCTGAAACTAGGATTTTTCTTCTGGATGCGTTTCAAGATGGTGGCCGTGTCATCCGGGTGTTCGGGTACCACATCCATCCCCTTGGTTACTGGACGTGTATCTGAACCTTTCAAAGACGCGCCATCCCAGGGCCTAATGAGTGGGAGGGCCTTCTCCAACCAGTCGCAGGTACACTGGTCTTGTCACTTGCTCTTGTGAATAGAAGCTCTTTCGAGGAGTCTCCCGTACTCCATTTTGTTTGAATTATCGTCCATACAACTCCCACGAGTAGTGCGGAAATCCGGTCTCACCTAGGCAAAGCCGTTTGTCCAGAGCTTGGCTTCCAGCACCTACGCAATAATCGTCACTACCCACACCGAAGCAAGTAGTCACTTTACGATCATTCGTGTCTGTGTGTGCGTCCCCCTATCGGCCACCCGGAGACGCGCCCGAAGGCCAGTGAATTTGGTCAAAAAAGCTATAGCCAAAATTGTCGATGGTTCAAAACCAAATTCGGGAAATAAGTTCCAATAGACTTATTGCAGATTGTATGGGAATTCCATACAATCACTGATACTGAAGCTAAGAGAATATCCAAGCATCTTCCAATCTCAGCAGTTAGTGAAATACTGCTAATGACCTCGGCAGTATCTCTACAGAAGTCTGAAATTTATGCAATCTTAATAGATCTTGGAGACATGTTTAAATATACAGACTAGGCCTGGGTTATTTTATTGGCCGTGCCGAATGTCGATGATGACTATGCGCGACAATAAACCAACGAATTTGGTTTCAATCACAATCATCCATGGAATTATTGCCATAAGAAATACATTGTAAACTTCGAGGCAAAAATGCAAGTTTGATTCCCAAATGACATACTAAGTGTTTAGTATCACTATCATTGGTTTTGTAATTTTTTCTCTATCAAGTGACGTAAACTCCACTTAAAAATAAGGAAATTGATGTCAATATCTCGAAAACCGCCATTTTGAAAAAAATGTTTCTACTTCCATTCGAATCTTGCAACTTTTATTTGAAACTTTTTCGATAGTTCTCTTTTTCAAAATATCGCACCGGAATTAATACCCATCAGCATCAAAAACTATACAACTTTGCCAATTTAACCGAATCTGTAAGTATAGTTAAGTGGCCAAATCGAAAAACGACTCTGTTTCTTAGTTCTAACGGCATTTTATGAGCCATTTTGGCTACATGATTTTTTAGATGTAAAAAAATGTGCTGAATCCGATTCTGGATGTTGCCAGGCCGAATTTTGGACTAGTTCACAAATACAGCACGATGGCGCCACTATCTATTGTATTGTGTGCTATTTAGTATTAAATTGTTTTCCATAATTTATTACTTATATATAGGTAAGAGTTGGTTAATTAACTCCATAGCTAGTTCGGAAAATGTAGGAAAATATATCCTGTGGTGATAGGGTGTCCCAAAAAAGCTGTGAATGAATTAAATTAGTGTTTTACATTTTCCTCAGCAAATTTTGTTTGTTATTAAATTTTGTGCTTTTTAATAACCGTTGGTAAGTATTTAGGTTCTTTCCAACTATATATATATATAAATAAAAATTGCGTATTTTTCCAATGAATTCAAATCTGCATTTAAAAAAACAAAACCACATCGCATTTTTCAGATGATAACAAAAATGTGACTTTGACATGGAACACCCTGTGTATTATTACATAATATGACAGGTTATTAAATTCTTTATAAAACACTGTAGCAAAAATATTTTAAATAACCAACATTTTCAAATTATTGACGATCTCCTAGGACGTAGAGAGTTTATAATTTTGCAGTGCCTGTCCATCTATCCCGAGATCTGTTCATTAGCACGATACCTCGAAAACGAATAGACCGCCGCCGATTATGATGAAAGTTCGCGAATTGGCAATGTACGTAAAAAAATAAAGAAGGCCCTTTTGACATCTCCGTGAGTTGTAAACCGAATTGCATGAAATTCAATATGGGCATAGTCGAGGGCATAGTTTTAGCCATATAATACGCAATGCCAACAGTTGGGCCTAATCAATTCTACATTCACAGTGCCCTTTTTGAATTGCAAACTTTTTTATTTATGAAAGTACTTAAATAAAAAATTTGATACATAGGCACTTGGAATAAAAGCAAATCTAGCACCGGGTTCAAAATTTGGTTTTTCACAATGCTATAGCCACTACCTATTAAGAGTAGTTTTAAATGGCATTAAATATAAATTAATTACATTAACTTAGCGTTAACCACATTACATTACATTAACTGAATTAACTTGAAATTAACTGCATTTACAGAATATATTAATTACATTAAAAGTTAATTTTAATTCATTTAACTTGATCAAGAGTAAAACAATAAAACAGGTTAGCGCAATAATCGGTGTAAAATATCTAATCTTTAAACAGCCGGTATTCAGTTGCTATAAACTTTTTTTTTTTAAATAGTCCGAACATTTTGTAGATAAAGGTCTAAATTTATAAAATATAAAATTTATATATTATTAATATAAAATTTAATTTTCAAAAACAACTTGAGTTTTTTAGGCGGACGTTCTTATGAAAACTTACATTGGGTGCAGTGGGTACAGAAGGGCGTAGAGTTGCATCTTCTCATTATGCTGTTGCCGGGGACATTTTGTACCATACATATTGTCTCGCAAATGCGATAAGGGACACTGAAAAATCGAATGGTCAGACTAGTCCTCCTAAAAACTTGGCTTTAAATAAATTGTGCTAGTTTCTAAAAGTGCACAAATATCTACAAGGGCCTTTACGACTGCTTCAATCGTAAAAAAAATGAGCAGAATGATGAAGAAATTTAAGTTCCGTTAAAATTTTTGAACGAAATATAGGTAATACATTTGCCGTCAGAATTATCTCTATCTTGTTACCGTGTTGTCTGTATAATGTACCCAATATATAAGTTTTGCAATTTTCTGTGCTTCCTGTATGTTTTTTTAACACCTCAGTCCGAAAAACTATGTAAAATGCGCCTGGCATAAAAATTTATGTATGTGGCCGCCATATTAGCCGCCATTTTGAAATTAGCCAAAAATTAGCTTGGCAACATTCGAATTCGGGTTCAGCAGACATTTTTACCCTTATAAACGCACGTTTCCAAAATGGCTCATTAAATGGCGTTAGACTTGCGATTTATTAACTATGGCCCCCCAACTAGTATAGTAATAACAAAGATAGCCATGTTATCCAACTCAATTTAATACACCCTGTATAGTAGGCGTGTTTATATGAAAAATACAAGGAATTGTAGCTGTAGTTCATGTAACATCTAGGAGATGTCGCTATATATTTCACTTCCTGGCGATAAAGAACATACTAATACTACTAACGTGAACGTTGTACAATATGAAGGTAGCAGTACTTTTATAGGCGATCCTTACATTATTTCAGGTAAACGGTAGATTTTCTGGAAGTGTATCTTTAATTTTTATAACTAATCAGGTTTCGTGTAAGCGACTCAATTACGTAGCTGAAGATTTCATTTGCATGAATAAGTTGGGAATAGAGGAGAGCTACATTAACAACCGAGTTGACGACAATTTCTTGGTTACGCCTGGAGATAAGCAGTTTAATGATTTCCTGGTATGTTGGGTAAAGGAAATCGGACTGGTCGACGAAAATATGCACATGATACCTTCCAAACTGAAATCCTACATATTGAAACATCAATTCAATCTCTTCAAGAAGAACGACTATCCCCGCAAAGACGAAGTGGCAGAAAGGGTGTCCAAAAGTTGTCTAAACGCCGAGCCAGGACAAAATGATGGAGACACAATGGTTAACATATTCAATTGCGTGGTGACGCAAATGGGTGCTCTGTAACCAAGTTATCAAATAAACTTTCATACACAATTTCCGCAGTTTTTTGTATTATCATGTAACCCGCGTATTTATTAGGAAAGTTTCGTTTCACAAGAGTATATCAAATCCGCTGTGACCCGTCTTAACCCATCACGTAAAAAACATAAGAAGGCTTTGTGTTTACCCAAATCCCAAGAGTCCCAGAACAAAGACCTACAGCTCAAGTTGCTAAGAATAGAATAATAATGTTTTTTATCAGGAATAAACGCATCTTCAAATATGAATAGCAATTGGCAGTCTGCCATCTCTGAATATGCAACTGTAGTTTCTGTGGTTTCTAACATCAAATCGTTTAGATTAGTGTCTGTCTGTTAATTTCTCCGATTAATTTCATCTCTGTGTAAGGTTATCCATTTGAACTGTTGTGTGATTTGGGTTGAAACCAACAGTAATCGTTTGTCAAAACGTGATCCACAATCATGGCCCAACTTCTAATGTTCTTGTGCTTTCTCTGCGCATTTTCACAGGTGAGGATTGACACGATAGATACAATGGCGTTGACCTATACGTTTCAGGTGCTGCCAATTGATATTGATGAAACCCACTACACGATCGAGGATTATATTTGTTTCAACCGAACCGGAATTGATAAGTCGTACATGGACAGTCACGTTACTGCAGACTTCGTACTAACCACGGGAGATGAGAAACTAAACAAGTTCATGGCGTGTTGGGTTGTAGAAATGAAGCTCGTCGATGACGAATTGCAATTTTCTCACTCGGCGTGGGAAAAATACGCCACCCATAACCTGTTTAAGTTCATCGGTAAATCAGACTATCCCAATAAGGAGGAGTTGGCAAAAAAATTCGTTAACGATTGCAAAACCATCGAATCCGGAAGTGATCTTGGGAACAGTGCAATATTGATGCTTAATTGTATGCTGGTGCCATTCTTGGAGCTGATGCGAACGGGATAAAGCTTTCGACGAAGTTGTGTGTGTCAAATTTACTACAGCAGGTGTGACATAGTTACATTGTGCTATTTATTATTAATCAATCTTTATTAACGCCAATTGGCCAACATTTTTTACCATAAATAAACGATAAAAAAATCTAAAATGTGTGTTTCTTCCCCTTTTCTAAAATCACCCGCATCCATTCCTTTCGTCTTCGCCCTTCTCCGCTCATGCTTTCCCTGGCTCTTTCCACCTCTTTTCATTGCTTCTTCTATTGTCCACTTCTCCTTCCCTCTCTCCTTGGTTCCGCATGTAAACGTCACTATATTTTCTTCTCCCCCTTAGGTACTTCGGTAACCATTCTCTCATCAGCTTCTTGTATGTAGGTAATGTTCCCTCCTGAGGTCTAGCTTTCGCTCGATGTTGCTGTACTTGTATCATTAATCTCCCTTTTCTTTTCTCTGTTCTCCCAATTTGCTGTTGTTTTCGTCATTGTTGACAAAAATCCTTCACTAATTCACTTTCTCCTTCGCTATCCTTATCTTCTCCATGTTTGTTTCCTCTAATATGTAATTTGGTGTCTTTTCGTTTAGACCTTTTTAGACCCAGTATCAAATTGTAATTCCATTCATCCCCATACATTACACCCCTCTGACCATTGCATCAAAAAGGTTATTCTGAACCCCGATAACTTTTGATTGAGAAGTCTGATCGAAAAAGTACGAATTGTTTTGGATTCTACGCACCAAAATTAATAAGGAAAAGTGTTTTCCCGATAAATTTTGGTGCAGTCGATTTTTGGCAAAAAAGGAAGGTTATAACCTGCCTTTTTTTGAGCGCCGAAAAAAAAATTGTCTCAGATCGACCCGGAAAAAAAATTTCTAATATAATGTGGCCTGTAGAATACATAATTTCAAACAGTTCCAAGATTGGGCTACTGGTTCAAAAGTTACAGCCCTTTGAATATTTTTTGAAATTGGTTTTTAGTCTATAACTTTTGGTTGAGAAGTCTGAACGAAAAAGTACGAATTGTTTTGGATTCTACGCACCAAAATTAATAAGAAAAAGTCTCTTCCCGAGAAATTTTGGGGCAGTCGGTTTTTGTCAAAAAAAGGAAGGTTAAACCCTGCCTTTTTTTGGGGCCCGAAAAAAAATTGCCTCAGATCGACCCGGAAAAAACATTTTCTTACAGAATGTGGCCTGTAGAATCCATAATTTCAAACAGTTCCAAGATTGGGCTACTAGTTCAACAGTTACAGCCCTTTGAATATTTTTTCGAAATTGGTTTATAGCCTATAACTTTTGATTGAGAAGTCTGATCGAAAAAGTACGAATTGTTTTGGATTCTACGCACCAAAATTAATAAAAAAAAGTGTCTTCCCGAGAAATTTTGGTGCAGTCGGTTTTTGGCAAAAAAAAGGAAGGTTAAACACTGCCTTTTTTTGGGGCCCGAAAAAAAATTGCCTCAGATCGACCCGGAAAAAACATTTTCTTATAGAATGTGGCCTGTAGCATCCATAATTTCAAACAGTTCCAAGATTGGACTACTGGTTCAAAAGTTACAGCGCTTTGAATATTTTTTCGAAATTGGTTTATAGTCTATAACTTTTGATTGAGAAGTCTGATCGAAAAAGTACGAATTGTTTTGGATTCTACGCACCAAAATTAATAAGAAAAAGTGTTTTCCCGAGAAATTTTTGTGTAGTCGATTTTTGGTAAAAAAGGAAGGTTATACACTGCCTTTTTTTGAGCCCCGAAAAAAAAATTGTCTCAGATCGACCCGGAAAAATAATTTTCTTGTAGAATGTGGCCTGTGGAATCCATAATTTCAAAAAGTTCCAAGATTGGGCTACTAGTTCAAAAGTTACAGCCCTTTGAATTTTTTTTCGAAATTGGTTTCTAGTCTATAACTTTTGATTGAGAAGTCTGATCAAAAAAGTACGAATTGATTTGGATTCTACGCACCCAAATTAATAAGAAAAAGTGTTTTCCCGAGAAATTTTGGTGTAGTCGATTTTTGGTAAAAAAGGAAGGTTATACACTGCCTTTTTTTGAGCGCCGAAAAAAAAATTGTCTCAGATCGACCCGGAAAAAAAATTTTCTTATACAATGTGACCTGTAGAATCCATAATTTTAAACAGTTCCAAGATTGGGCTACTAGTTCAAAAGTTACAGCCCTTTGAATTTTCTTTCGAAATTGGTTTCTAGTCTATAACTTTTTTTTGAGAAGTCTGATCGAAAAAGTACGAATTGTTTTGGATTCTACGCACCAAAATTAATAAGAAAAAGTGTTTTCCCGAGAAATTTTTGTGTAGTCGATTTTTGGTAAAAAAGGAAGGTTATACACTGCCTTTTTTTGAGCCCCGAAAAAAAAATTGTCTCAGATCAACCCGGAAAAAAAATTTTCTTATAGAATGTGGCCTGTAGAATCCATAATTTCAAACAGTTCCAAGATTGGGCTACTGGTTCAAAAGTTACAGCCCTTTGAATTTTCTTTCGAAATTGGTTTCTAGTCTATAACTTTTGATTGAGAAGTCTGATCGAAAAAGTTCGAATTGTTTTGGATTCTACGCACCAAAATTAATAAGAAAAAGTGTTTTCCCGAGAAATTTTGGTGTAGTCGATTTTTGGTAAAAAAGGAAGGTTATACACTGCCTTTTTTTGAGCGCCGAAAAAAAAATTGTCTCAGATCGACCCGGAAAAAAATTTTCTTATAGAATGTGGTCTGTAGAATCCATAATTTCAAACAGTTCCAAGATTGGACTACTAATTCAAAAGTTACAGCCCTTTGAATTTTTTTTCGAAATTGGTTTCTAGTCTATAACTTTTGATTGAGAAGTCTGATCGAAAAAGTATGAATTGTTTTGGATTCTACGCACCCAAATTAATAAGAAAAAGTGTTTTCCCGAGAAATTTTGGTGTAGTCGATTTTTGGTAAAAAAGGAAGGTTATACACTGCCTTTTTTTTGAGCCCCGAAAAAAAAATTGTCTCAGATCGACCCGGAAAAAAAATTTTCTTATAGAATGTGGCCTGTAGAATCCATAATTTCCAACAGTTCCAAGATTGGGCTACTAGTTCAACAGTTACAGCCCTTTGAATATTTTTTCGAAATTGGTTTATAGCCTATAACTTTTGATTGAGAAGTCTGATCGAAAAAGTACGAATTGTTTTGGATTCTACGCACCAAAATTAATAAAAAAAAGTGTCTTCCCGAGAAATTTTGGTGCAGTCGGTTTTTGGCAAAAAAAAGGAAGGTTAAACACTGCCTTTTTTTGGGGCCCGAAAAAAAATTGCCTCAGATCGACCCGGAAAAAACATTTTCTTATAGAATGTGGCCTGTAGCATCCATAATTTCAAACAGTTCCAAGATTGGACTACTGGTTCAAAAGTTACAGCGCTTTGAATATTTTTTCGAAATTGGTTTATAGTCTATAACTTTTGATTGAGAAGTCTGATCGAAAAAGTACGAATTGTTTTGGATTCTACGCACAAAAATTAATAAGAAAAAGTGTTTTCCCGAGAAAGTCGATTTTTGGCAAAAAAGGAAGGTAATACAATGCCTTTTTTTGAGGCTCGAAAAAAAATTGTCTCAGATCGATCCGCAAGAAAAATTGTCTAATAGAATGTGGCCTGTAGAATCCATAATTTCAAACACTTTCAAGATTGGGCTACTAGTTCAAAAGTTACAGCCCTTTGAATTTTATTTCGAAATTAGTTTCTAGTCCATAACTTTCAGGTTCTGAACTTATTTTTGAATCTCCTCTCTCCTATTCCTTAAACCTACGCTTCGTCACTTCCCCCTTTTTTTTGATATGTGCATTTCCCTACTGCTTCGTTGCGAATAGAATTCTAATACTTAAATTCTCTTACTTTCTCTACGCTTTCTATTTCTATTCTACCCCCCTTTCGCTTTGATTTTTAGACATTCAATTCCATTCTTTTCCTCCAATTTCCTACATCCGTTTTTTCCTCTGTTGCCATTATTACGGCCATCAGCGTATGCCAGGAACAATATCTTCCTTATTAATGTAGGATTCGTCCACTTGGATCCTATCTCAATAGTTTCTCAATATCTCTCATATTAAATAATGTTGGTTAAGTGGACATCCCTCTCTCAGGCCTTTTTATGTCCGGACTACTTAAGACTCCTGCCGTCTTATCCTTACACTTATTCTTGTCTCGCTATATAATTAATTGATTCTGCCCTTTAATTATTATCTATTTTTCCTTCTTAATTTTAATCTTAAAAAAATAAAATCATGATCACATTCCTTTACTGTACAATTTAAATATGCACTTACACTTGTCAAATATTACTTTCGATCCATTTCGGTTTCCTGTATCATCCTTGTCTCGTCTATTTCTCTTTTTAACTGTACTGTCTAAATAGAACAACAATGTGAATTAAATTAATAGGCAATCACAGGGACCCCATCGAGGAAAGGCTGAAACTGAAAACAGTGTTGCGCCATGAAGATCCATATCGTTCCTGTAACCAAAAATTGAAACTCTCATGTAAGGACCTAAAGTCAATTTTCCTTACTACCGGGTACTAATTGAGGTTTTAACCCTCGTGACGTTCTCCTATATCGTCGAAATTACGTCAATTTAGCCTTGCTCCGCGCAACTCCCCAGTTTATTAAAAACCAATATTTAATTTCCTTGTCTATAACGAATAGAGTCTGTACGAAAGAAGGAAAAAAGAAAGGAATGCGGCACATTTACGAATTTTATTTCCTCGCAATTCTTGTGCAGGATTTCCTCATGATTGTATGATTTTAGTTTACACGGAGTGTCACACAAAGTTAGTGTAACTTTAATTCCCAAGAGACGCAATGCAGCCCGCATCGCTGTCGTTCCAAACTAGATAAGCACACATAACTAATTGTTTTAGTACTTAAAGTTGACTTTCTTACTTTTATAGTTATGTGTTATCAAGCACGTAATGCTCATTTCGCCAGACACTTAATTTCCATTTAAATATTATACGTAGATTTTCCGTTTGTAAATACGAAAGATATTTGAATTGGGAGCTAAAACGGTTTTGCGGGAAAACAAGCAAGTTGGTTACGTTTAAAGTTTCCGGGTGGCTAATGAGTTACTTAAGCTAAAATTCGCCGTAAGGGTACACTGTCAAGGGTATTAATAATTCT